TGTCCACCAGCTGGTTCAGGGATTGCCGCCATGACACGCACCGACTACCTTACGACCACAGCTCTGATCGGCCGCCTCTAAAATGGAGGCACAAAATATGGTCCACTTGGACTCAATGTCCCCTGCATCCCCCAGGAGATGGGCAAAGTTCTGCCGGAGGTGGGATTTGAAACTTTGACAGGGAATTCTGTCAGACATTCCCAGCAAAGCCTCACAATACATTTGGGTCTGCCAGGCCGGCCCGGCATCTTCCCCCACCATCGGAGCCAACACACCACCAGGTGTGATCAGTTGACAGCTCAAAATATTCTAGCTTGTGTTTTTCCTAATCAAATAGGTTCCATTTATTTCAAATACTTTCACGTTACTGTATTTGTAATGTTTGCATTTTTCATCGAGTTTGACAGTCAAATGTTTCAACTCTTTTTTTTTTCACGATTGATTCATTCCTGCCACACAAAACAAATAAGCAGTTTGAGAGTGATGATTGAAGTAATCACTTCAAAGCGGTGATGTTGTTTAAATCGCCGCGCTCTCATCTATTTTCTCCTCTCGCAATCTGTAAGGCTCGCCGTTTTGTTTTTAAGTAAAAAAGAAAAATGAATAAAATATCTGAGAAAATTGTATGTATCGTATGAATAATGTAAAGGCGCCTCTCAAGGTCGGGCCATGTTGTTAGTAGTCTCCCCCTACCTACCTGCACGCTGTTACTTTTTGATCTTGTTTGCTGTGAGGAAGTCATTCTAGTCCATCCACTTGTCTCTTTGACGCCCATGGCGGGAGAGACGCTATTTTGAGGGGCGATGGAGGGGGGAAAAAAAGAATCAGGGCCAAGCATGAGCGTGTGGTGTGAAGGCGGTAGAGTGCCGTGTTACCACATTTGTCCCAAAAAGTTTCTCAGCACAGCTTGTTTGCTTCACTCAGTCACAGTCAACATTCTCACTGGGGGGGAAGTTGACAGAATGTTGGCTTTGTGGGTTTATATCATTAAAAACTTATAATAAAATAAAAATAATAACCATAATAATAATATCCATTCATCCATTTTCTAATTTGCTTATCCTCTGGACCCTGCGATTGGCTGGCAACTAGTTCAGGGTGTCCCCCCGCCTACTGCCTGAAGTCGGCTGGGATAGGCTTAAGTGGATCAGAAAATGGATGGATGGATGATTCAGTGATAATTTTACAGTTTAACCCCAGCGAGTCCCTGGGGCTCGCTGATCAGAAAAGTATGAGTCCCATTATGCATTTCGAGAGTCCCAAATTTCGAATTCTGAAATGGTCTACTTATTCAATTGCATGTGATAATAACACAAACAACAACAATATACCTTGATAATAGGTTTATTTCTTATTAACAAATGCTGCAAAAATTTAATTAATTCAGGTATACAAGATTTGCTGAGAAATAGGTTCTTATTTCATCCCATGGTTCAGTCTTTGAGTTCATAAATTCTCCTCTCAAAGTCAACTTATTATCGCAAAAAACTATGCAACTTTAGCTGCTTCCTCTGTGATATCTCCGCAATAAACTTTCGCAACACTTGTTTTAACGTTACACAACTTGGACTTTCCGCGACGTAAAGCCCGATTTCGCCAATCTCGTCTCGCGAGAACGGAAATCTTGTCACGCGAGATTACTTAACGCGAGATCAAAACAATAATGGCGGCGATTGTCGAACTGCGACACTGCGTTGCTGGAAAAAAAGATGTACCGTAGATTTTTTTTTGTTTTGTTTTGACTGAGAAATTTCCTTGCGTCCCAAAAACGCACATTATTTGGAACTGTGCGTCCCGCGCGAAAATTATGTGTCTAGGACGCGGGACGCAGAGGTGACGAGATGACTGTGGATGGATGGATTATCCTCAGCAGGGTCGCGGGTGTGCTGGAGCCTATCCCAGCTGTCTTCGGCAGTCCATCGAAGCTTTTTGGGACATCTTTGTCGCTCAATTATCAGAAAATAACTTTAAAATGCCATATTTTGTGTTTTGATGAGGCTCAAAATAAAAACGGTTGTGCTTGTATAGCTTGAAGGCCTACCCGGGATACCTTGAGGGCATTTTATTTATTTATTATTATTATTATTATTTTTTGCAAATGGTTATGAATAATTACGGGATTGTTGTTAATGTATTCTTTCCCAACAGAGTAATATCGCGGATTTGCATCCACACACCATCCATCCATCCATCCATTTTAATCCTGAACAGGGTCGTGGGGAGTTGCTGGAGCCTACCCCCAGCTGACTTCGGGCGCAAGGCACACTATACTCTGAACTGGTCGCCACTCAGTTGCAGGGGACATACAGATGACCATTCACACCATCACTGAGTGGAACCGATCCCACACTGCCAGCACGCACACAAGTCCGGCGTGTGTACCACTACGCCATCAGAGACTCGCATTCACACACCTCTTTATAAATTTATTTTCACTGACTCTTAGATTTAATCTGGCACAGAGGTTTGTTATGTACGGTCGCGTAATGACATGCCATTTTCTGCGGATCAGAAATGACGATAAGATATTTGAAACAGTGACATGATAAAATGTTATCGTCTTCGTGACATACGCTACTCACAGAAAGTTAGGGATATTTGTTGTCAGGTTAACCCTTATAGATTGCACTCAAAAGACTGATAACCTAGCACGAGGTTCTGTCTGTTCTGTATCCACTCATGACACGAAGTAACGTTTGGCCACACAACCGAAGTTCTAACCACTTACCTTTCTACATACTCGTACTCACAATACATACAGTAAGTGCATTTAATATCAGAAAAGTATGTTACTTTAACTTCTGCCTAGCTTATTTTGCTGAGATAATTGTACTTTTTCTCAAGTATCACCTTTTTATACAAGTCTTATCCTTGAGTTGCAAGCATTGCATGGTGCTATTCTCTTTTTCACGATTTTATCAAAATCAAAGACCTTGCCCAGCGGGATTGGGACCAGGAAAATCAAGACAACAAAAGTCTTTGTACAACGGTGATCTTTATTTCATCTCCAGTTCATGGAGAAACACCATTGACAGACATGTGATGGAGGGACTCCCCAAACAGCGGGTGCGGCTCCTCTTCTACTATTTTTTTTCTTCTTGAGAGCGGTTACAGTATAAAACAAACTTGAAACATGTTGCCAATATGGTTTCGTTATACAATACTTCATGGTCATTGGTCATACGAATTCGACCGTTTAAACATAAGCATCAGATGGGGAGGGGTGCCCCCGTTGAGACATCTGTTTGTAGCACATCCTGTTTTGCAGCTACATGTCTCAAGACAGGAAGACCCCAAATCTGCACAACAATGAGCTTTTATAGCAACCCTTGTAGATAGCAGGGTATGTGATACAGGTTAACACTGTTAATTATAACATTTCCACTAACCAAACAATTCCCAAGTCCTAAAATCTGCAATTTACAGTAAATTTAACTCTCCGGTAGCCAGTAAAGAGATGTGTGCATACTGATTTACCTAGTAGGTAACCATAAATTCCACGTCACATTTTTCTTTTTGCAATGGCTGGTATCATATCTGTGTGCCACCAAAGCCAGCAGACTGACAAACAGCCAGCAACAAGTCCACTGTTGACGTTTGCCAAGCACAAACAGTGTATCTCAAGCCAAGACGTCCGCCCGAGGTTTCTGCACACAAAAAGCGAACTCCCCCTGGAGAGAGGAACGTCACAAAGGTGCTGCCCTGAGCTGCTGCTTCGCAATTTTAATCCCATCCGTTTTAAACCGGAACACTCTGAGCCAATCTGCAAGTCAATAATGAGCGTGGAGTCACAATATCACCTGGATGAAGGATTCCAATAGAAAAAGCCCAGGGGTACTCGCTGGTTCTGTTGCTACAATGCTAATTAATGCTAATGCCGTCAATGCAATGGATGTTATGAATAAAAAATGGTCCACGTGGGAAGTGTGAACATAACAAGTCACCCCTTGGGTCTTTTTTTAATTTTTTTTTTAGGAGAAACGACAACATGCAAGGGGTCTACTGTGATGGACAGATTGCCTGTCAATCACGGAATGAACATGACTAACCGTCACAACTGTGGAATTCACCCAATATTGCTGCTTTGAACCCAAGTAGAAGACTTCCTGCTCAATTTTGTGAGTAGGTCATCAGACTTGTGCATTTTGTTATGATTGGCATGTCCAGGATGTGCGGTCAGGGCAGGCAGAGGCAAGAAGCTCTCGCTGTAGAGCGCAGTTTGAAATGTGACTTCATTTTTGATGCTGCCAAAACGGATTCTCAGCGGCTTATTTTTTTCCAGTCGGGGCGAAGCTAACACAACTGTTTGACGGAAATGGTCGAAACTGCAATTTTGACATCTATTTTGGGTGAATAGAGGGTCGTAGAGCATTTTCAGAGGGCCTGAAAATGGGGGAGTGTGTGTGATGTTTGTTCCGAGTGTCTGAGGAACTGGATTCAAAAGATGTGCTACACCTTGGATGTTTTTGGGGGAGCAACATGACGCCACACCCGGCACAAACTCGACCGCACATGGTTTCCAAATTCTAAAAAGGCAATTCCCAGGCCGGGTCCTCCAATGCATTCAAAGGCTCCTTCTCATGTAGCCTACGTGGATAGGAATAGGGATACTGTATTGAGAAACGTAATTTGAAAGAGCATATAAATCTTGTTTGCAACAAGTTTACAACATTTCTGGGGATTATTAGAACAATTAGCACATTAGTACATCCGTCTTTTTTTAACATTACATTATACTCTGGTATATCAATATCATACCTACTGTAATATTTTATGGGTCAGTACTTCATAGTCTTCATAAAATTTTACTGCTGCAAAAACGTTTTGATAACGATAGTATTAGGTAGTTTTAAAGATTTTTACGTTGTATTACCAAATAATAACGACACTTTTATTTTATCTTGAATATACATACTGCATTATGCCCCTTTTTTGTTCCCCCAAAATATGGTATGAGCCGACGAGGCGTAAGGCACTGCCCCTTTAAGGATCTCATGCCTGTCAAGAATGCGACGTCATCAGGAAATGACGAATGGTTGTGCACAGTGACAACAGAATTTGACACTTCATTATAGCGCAACATATTTATTGGAAGATGTATCTCACTGTATATCGGGTGAGCATGAATTGACTAACTAAAATAGTCGTGCGAGTTGTTTTAAGGACAAAATGCCGACGTCGTTGATATTTTTCACTTTAATATGCCCGCTCGTATTTGGGAAAGCCTCACTACCACTGGTTATCAATACCTGGAACTTCAAAAATGCGACGGAAGCAGGTATGTTTTGGGATTATTTTTCTTTTTTACTTGCAGAGGCACAAGTCTGAACTAGTCCCGAGTTTGACACACACGTGACCGGATGAGTCGGACCGCAACTCTTACGTCCAGTCCACCATTTATGCGTACGTAGTTGCTTAGCAACATAAAAATATACAGTTTTGTAGGCGGTTTTGGTCCTGTCCTCTTCAAATTTGCTCTACAGATGTTTCAAGACATCACACTGTCGCTCTCAATCTTCAATTGGTACCTTGTGTAGAATTTAGAATTGACAATTTGGCGAGTATTGGCAAATTCTCAAACAATCGAGAAGTATTGCGATAGTATTGTATTTCCTTCCTTGTTAGCACGAAGTAGGATTTTGTTGGAATAGAAATCAAAGTGTGTGTGTGTGTGTGTGTATATATTTGCAATAAAATGTCCACTATAAACTTGCATCAATTTATATATATATATATATATATATATAGAGAGAGAGAGAGAGAGAGAGAGAGAGAGAGAGAGATAGGCAGACTTGAAGGGGTCATGTAAGAATTTTTGAGAGGTGAGATCTGATTCGGAATCAAATTCGTTACCGCTATGTTATCTGCTCCCCGATGACAATATGAAACTGCGTTTGCAATTCAGTGAGATTCTTAACCGGTTAGGTCTGCCCTTGCGCCATTGAATTGTTGGGAATGATGCATCAGAAAGCGCAGATTGGAAGTGAAAGCACTGAAGCTGTTGCTCAGAACTTTGTCAAGGCGGCTTTCTCCCAGGTGTGCTCAACGCAACCGTTCTGACAGGTGAAATCTGTACAAGATGGGAGTTAACTGGAAAAAAAAATATTTTGCGCTTGATAGATGGAAACTTTAACTTGTGTACATCATTTTTCCCCACAGTCTCTGAGGCAGACAGCGTGAAAGCAGGCAAATTGACATGCTGTGTGTGTGTTGCGTGTATCTTCTTAGTGGACGCAGCTTGTCGATTTGTCGGCCTTGGGAAGTTGCTGTACTCTGAAGTTTGTGTTAAAACATCCTTGTAGCACTGTGCATTGAGAAACAAGAAGCCCGAACCCACAGAGTGTCAATGGAAGACGTTTGCCACAGAGTTACATCATTGCTTCTTGTGACAGCAATTTGCCAGTGTGACAGGTTGAAGGAAACAAAATTTTAAGATGGAGTGGATTAAAGTGGCTTTTGTATTGCTTGTATACAAATAGTTGTGTCCCTGGAGCGCCTCCTCACCCATTATTTGGGCAAGAACACAAGCAAGATTTTTTTTTTCTTGTCTATGTTAGAAAATATGTCTGGGAGCAAGCTGTTCTGATTAAAGTACTTTTCACATAAAATGTTCATCACTTAAAAAAAAAAAACAAAAAAAGTAAATCTTACGAGAAAAAATATGTCATGTAATGTAGTGTCATTTATTTAATGTGACGTGCCTGAAAACATTTTCTTTATTCAGAAAATATTTTGCAGGTGAAGTGTGCAAGCTAGCAACTTGCATCAGTCATACTCGCGCCATAGCAGGATGGCATCAGTTAGGGAAAACTGGAGTCAAATTCATTTGAAACAGTGCTATCCTTTCCTGTTTAAAAGGAAGCACCTTTTCATCTCCTTGATCTAATGACGGATACCAACAAAGGTTATGGGAAGGTGGCATGAAGGTTAGGAGCTTTGACTTTCCAGAGAGACCTTTTCACTACCAACGGGTCTTAAGTGTTGTAATCAATTGTCGTTGATGTCCCACCTGTAACGTGTGGCAGTTGCGAGCTGAGGTGTTAGCTAACCGTGGACACGTGATGTTGGATAACAAAGACTTTCCACACACTTATTTTCTGGTCAAAAGCGAACAATAAACACACTACTCAGCTTTACTGACTGACTGCTGTCAGGCTGCTGAATAAACATACGTGAAAACCTGTAACCATTGTAAATAGCACAGCCACCTTATGCTGTGTTTTCTATTCTATTGCTAATGCTATATTTTATATTACACTTTTATTGAACTGTGTACAGTTCTTTCTGAAACATTTATTTTGTGCAATGAAACTTTTTTTTTTCTTCCCCCACAATTTTGCTGCTGTAGACTGCAAATTTCCCCACTGTGGGACAAATAAAGGTTATCTTATCTTATCTTTACCACGGGTTACGTGAGAGTACAGCAGCCTGAGTACACCTGATTGAGTCCATGACAAAAAAGTGTGGAAAAGTTCAAGGCAGGAAAAGTGACCTATTGACATGAATTATAAAGGTGCCACCGTGTGGCATGGTACCATATCTCTATAATGACTGTTACACTGCGCATATTATCTCAATCCATGGATCTGCGTCGGCTCACGCTATTCCGCACACCACTTTACCTCCATTGCTTAAGTCCATACAGTCAGTTGAATCCTTCAAGTACCTGTACATGAAATATCCTCTAAATTGGACACACCACAGAGAAGCGGGTTAATCACCCGTACCAATTTAAATTATTAAAAAACACAAACAAAAAAAAAGACGGCAAAATCTTTACAAAATCACGCTTTCATAACCGCTTTTACAACCCCTGAGCACGTCTGCTGGAGGTGAAAGCACACCCCATTCGTCTGTTAGTCAATTACAAGTAATACAAGCTGGAAACCTGGATACTACTTCATCCAGCAACAACAATCAATGGATAAGTGTGACCTTGTGTTTGTGTCGCTGCTTCAGCATGGGCGGTCCTGCAGTCCGGAGGCTCAGCATTGGATGCCGTGGAGACGGGCTGCAACCGCTGTCAAGAGGAGCAGTGCGACGGTAGCGTGGGCTACGGTGGTAACCCAGACGAGAGTGGTGAGACCACGTTGGATGCCATGATCATGAATGGGTAAAAAAAAAAAAAAAGAAGAAAAAAAATATTCCAGAGGGTAAGGGGGAAAAATGTCAACCGTTGTCTGTGTGAGCAGTAACACGATGGAGGTAGGCGCTGTGGGTGACCTGAGAAGGATTAAGAACGCCATTGGCGTAGCAAGAGCGGTGATGGAGCACACGCAGCACACCATGCTGGTGGGAGAGTCAGGTATGATGAGCACAGTGTCAAGTTTAACACCCGAGACTGACTTCCCAGTCCCTTTTGCGTTGAAAGCAATTGTCAACACTAACCGCTTTAAACCCTGACTTTGAAACCCTAGCTCAGGATTTGAAGTTCTAATTTCTTACCCTAACGACTTCACACACAAATTTGAAAACCCTCAATTGAATCCCTAACCCTAATTGTAAACCCTAAACTTTACTTCAGATCCAAACCATAAACCCTAACCCAGGATGGAAACTCTAACCCTAACTTGAAACTGTAACCTGAAACCTTAACCGTGACTTGAAATCCTAATTTGAAACTCTAACCACTAATTAAAAGACAAAGGGGAAAAACCTAAACATGAACGCCTAACCTTGACTTGAAACCCTAACTCAAAACACTAACCCTGGCTTGAAAGGCTAATTTGAAAGCCTAAACATGACTCAAAAACAAATTCAAAAACCCTTATTTGAAAAACTAACGCTGGATTGTAACATGATCTCAAACTACAACTCGAAACACTAACCCTTGAGACTTGAAACCCTGTCCACAAAACACTAATTCAAAAACCATAAATTGAAACCCTGGAAAGAAACCCTAATCATGATTTGAAAGCCTTATGCGGAACCCTAAACCATACTGAGCACCGTAATTTCAAACCCTAACCATGATATGAAATCTTCATTCAGAACACCACTTTGAAACACTCCCTGGTTTGAGGTTGAATACGGTGCCATCCCCATCCCAAAGTAACAATTGGAGAGTCATCAAATGATGTTTGTGGTCTGCGGTTGGTACAAATACACAGGGGGAAGGTTGTGGCTTCTAATCCAGTTGTTACTCACAAGAAAAACAAAACCAACCGCCTGAGCAAAACTCGTGACGAAGGCATGCTTTCATGTTGTTTACTTTCTGACACTAATCACGTGTCAGCAGAAATGGAGTCCCACCAGGCCTGGCAACGTTTTTTCCTCAAATCTTCTGCTGTCGGATGATTGCAAGTTGTTAAACATCAGCCGAGTTATCAGGTGTGTGATCGTCAATGTTCCACATCCTTGAGAGATGCACAGCATATATTCCACTTCCAAGTCAGTCTGGACATTTCTTCTTTGACCCCACCCCTTCCCCTGCGATCGTTAAGGCATTATCTCCAGGAGAACCGCCACTAACGAGATATTTTCTGTTTGGATTGTTCTCCCCCCCGCAGACAATTCAACTCTGTGAAGCCTCTCGTCTGTGTGGGGAAAACCCCACTAATGTCTCGGATTGTCCTGACGACAACCAGTCACTTCAATAGCATTGTGACACTCGATTTAAATTGGAGCATATTGTCATGGCCATGTCTGCAAGCCTTTAGAGCAGGGGTCCCCAACCTTTTTTGCCCCACGGACCGGTTTAAGTCAGACATTATTTTCAGGGACCGGCATTTAAGGTGTGGCGGAATTAATACAACAAAATAATATGGTATGAGCTGCATGAAAACTGTGGTGTTTTCGAAATACAATAACCTTTAGAGTGACTGATTAGATGCCGCATTTACTCAGATAATGGCAGTGCACACCATTATCCCCCAAAAATACTGACAGTTCTCATTTCAGTCGTGAGGCACTCTTGTACAAACAGTAAAAAAATCTTCTGCATGCTTTGTATAGGGTAAAACGTGGTAGCAGCTGGTAGAAAAACTTGAAAAGCTGTTCAAGGGTTCGCTGAACCTGAATGTAAATATGCAAGCCTGGAGGAAAAAATCTGGGAAAGAGTTTGGGATAGTTTCACAAAAAGTGTAATGTGGATCAAAACAATATGTCGTCAATGGTCAACACAGTGTAATGTATCAACGTTAGACAATTCAATATAACCTACTAATTGCGAAGAAAACAAATCCATGATATTCTTATTTATACATGAGCCACGGCCACAACTAAAACCAGGTCAACAGACAGACTGGCTAACGGTAGTGATGGCAAAAAAAAGCTTCAAATTTGCTTCATGGCTTTGTTGTATTTTTTGACTCCTCGATATGGCACTGTTGGTTTAAATAAAGGGGTCTAAGAATAGGCATGTCGGTGTGCTGTTAGCCCAGTGGTGACCAGAGAGTGCCATCGAGAGGAGTTAAAAAATATAATTAGCTTATGAAGCAAATTTGAAGCTTCACTTTCCCATCACTAGCTAACGGTAGTAATTTAACAGCCAGATAAGTCTCATTCGCTGACCCCATGTCATTCACCAGGCCGGGCCCCACGTTTAAAAGCCATACAGTCCAACCTCAAGATGACGACCCAAAGTGAACAAAAAATATTACCTGTGCCGCTCACTCACATCATTGAGTTTAATAATGCTAAATCAATTTTTATCCGATTAATCAATGTGGTAGTCAGAAAAATATTCAATCGCAGTAGCCCTACATGCACTCTTAAATCGCTGCACAAATTAGTTTGTAACCATAAAACGCCATATGTTGGAAACCTAGTAAACCGATGGATGATCCTCCATTCATAGCAACACTTATCTTTTCACCAGCAAGGCATTATGCTGCATGTTTTGAAGAGGGTAAAAGTAACAATATCTAGTGGAAAAACTGGAAAGCCAGTAGTCCACATGGACATCTTAAAGCAGTGGCTCCCAACCACCGGGACCTTGGCCCGTTTGGGACCACGCCACACAGAGACAGACCTGCGAGCTGTGCTGTGAGCATATTTGCTCCATCAGACGAGGCGGAAATGTGCGCAGCTAGCTAATATAAAATTGGTTTGCAAGTTGAAATAAACAGAATTTGCAAATAAGAGAAAGAAGAAGCTGTACACAGAAAGCGATGATAACAAACGTATGGGCAGCCATGACTCCCGAAGATGAAGCTATTGTGACGTGTTAAGTTTCTCCCTTAGCGGTCTCTCCAGAGCGACGCAGAGGACGACGCTGTTTTGTGTGGTATGTTGACAAAAACAAGGCAAGACAAGAAACCCGTCAAATTATTTGAATAAGTAGCACCCAAGTGGAAGTATGAAAATGCAAGCAGTTTTCCTAACCACATAAACTTTAGCAGTTTAGTCAGTAATAAGGAGCCGGCAGGCACCGGATGAAAGCAGCAATCAGTGGTGTTATCTTTTGATCAGTTACATTTGCGAGTAGCAATGATGCTAACGCCGTATGTAGGATTGCAACATACAAATTATTATTTCACATTATAAGGCCTAATTATTATTCCTGATTGGGCCATTTCTTAGCATTTCAGTGTTATGTTACATTTGTTGTGCAGTAGAATAACACAGTTTGAAATAAATGTTAAAATTTGAATTACTCTTTGTTATCAGTAGCAGTGGTTTAAAACTGGCAATTTAAAACCAGTGGGAAAAAAATGGTTGCCGGTCTGCGAACAGCATGTACCGTACTTGTTTCAATCGGTCCATGACACAAAAAAAGGGTGGGGATCACTGTCTTAAAGGATTGCTTTTTTTCATGTTACAGTAACATGATTGTGGGAATTAAAATGGCAGAATCAACAGGACATGTTTTAAACACAAATACCCTCTGGCAAATTCCACAGATTTTGATTTAACAAAGCCAGAAATGGTTTCAAGTGAAATTAATAATGGCACAATCTGTGCTTAGGACCTCATAAGCATTCATTGTCGTGCATTTGTGATGAAATTGGTGTTCAAAACAAACTGGGTGAAATGTATTTCTAAACTAATTTAAAGCCACCTGAAGGCATCTATTGAGCACTCTGGTGTCATCCGACGCATGCTAACACCTGCTTGGCCATCGCTGGCTCCTCAGTTGCGATTACATTTGGCTACAAGAACAAATTAGGGCTGCAAAATTGGCCCTCATGTCAAAAAATTCTAAGAAGGCCATATGTTATCTTTCTTTGCAGCGTCTGTGTTCGCAGAAAATATGGGCTTCATCGCAGAGGACCTGACCACCATCAAGTCGCTGGATATTTTCACGCAGTGGCTGAAGGGCAATTGCCAACCTAATTACCGAAAGGTGAGTGTGCCGGTATTTTGATTAGCATTGGCTCCAGGCGTGCTGCTACGAAAAGATATTGGGCTGCGAGCTTGACTGGCATGCTAATAATGATGTCGTTCATGGAAAAACATGGCTTGTTCGTTTTAGAAGTGTTTCATTTGTTTGATTTATCCTGAACTTATGCCTAAGAGCCCCAAGATAATCCTTAACTCTCTTATTATGATACAGGTCAAATAGACCAGTGTTAAAGTTTAATCCGTGTTTTTTATATATATATATATCTATATATATATAGATATATATATAGATTATCAAACAAACACGCGCTAACCAGTCAATATATTTTAAATATACTGTATATCCATCCTCCATTGTCTGAACTGCTTGACTATATATTTCCTCTCGAACTTAAACGTAGTTCAGCATTTCATCTCTAATTCAGTATAAATTTCAGTCGGTTAAAACTTTCAGGGATTTTACTTTTGAGATTTTACAATGAACTAGAAGCTAGAAAACCAATTTAAAGGGGAGAAAAAACAAGAGTTTTTGTTGTTGGTGGTTTAAACATTGCGCAGCACTTTTATGATTTTCAATGATATCAATTTCCATACAGCGTATTAACAGGATTAACAAAGCCAATTTGAAGACTCTTTTAGACTGCTTTCACCTTCAATTTGTATGACAGATAAAAGCAGGTGATTCCCTTCTGCTTAGTGATGGAGCACTTAGGTGTAAATACAATGTACTATCAAACATACACAAATTTAATCAAGCAGCTGCCATACAACTGAGAAGAGAACAGCCAGCATCGTGAAGTGCGTCACCGTGGACTGTTTTTACTTCAGTGAACTTTTCTTTCATCAGTTTTTCATTTATCAACAGGAATAAGGCTTTTCAAACTTAATTGCTTTACTCATACATATAATAAAAAGATGATCATGTTATTTTCTTTTTTGCATTAAAAAAAACAATTCATATCCTCCGCTGTTTTTTTTTCTCCAGAATGTTCTTCCCAACCCATCCAAATCATGTCCTCCCTACAAGCCACAAGTGAAGCTGGAACAGAAAAAGCAACTTCCTGCTGATATTCGTTCCCACGACACCATAGGTGGGTTTTTTCGGGATTTGCATGACATTAAGTATATTTCCAGATTGTTCTGATGACCTAAAATGCACAACTTCCTTCCATATTACACAGTTGCAAGATCAAGCTTAACCACTGGACGTCACTGATTCCTACTCACCGCTCCTTTCTTTCTTTTTTTTTTTATTTTTATTTTTTTATATTTCTTTGTTTAGGGTCCCAAGCGTAACTATCCAAAATTCACTCAGTAGGGCCTCAATGGAAAGCATATTAACTGCAAATGTGGGTGGACTTGGCTATCGATACATACAGTATTATCTCATAGACCCAGGCACAAAATTAACAGGAGCAGCCATTTTCGTTTGAAGCAGGCATTTTGGGCAAATTCCAGGGCTTGTAAAAACCTTCTAGTGAATTTACCCATGCCTTTCAAGCTTCTGTATCCTGGTGAAAAATATTTGTATTTTAGGAGTCCCACATATGTTCCCCCATAATTCACTTAGGGGTGCCCACTTTGAAGTTCGAAAAATATAACTCCATACACTAGTTACACACTTAAGAGGTCCATCACGCACAAAAAGGCGTATTGAACATTAAGTCAGCAGCTATTTTGGGCGAAATCCAGGGCTTGCACTTTGGTAAACTCCTACTGTGGAATGTGCCCAAATGATTGCAGCTTTAATTCCATTTGATTGATCTATTTATTATTTACCAGGTATGATCGCATTTGATCAATATGGCCATGTGGCTGCGGGGACATCCACCAATGGGCTCACTCATAAAGTTCCAGGGTATGTTAATTATTGTAACTGCAGTAGCAAATGTGCATGTTCTCGGTATACTCAAACATTTTGTATCCCGACACACAGTCGAGTAGGGGACTCTCCTATAGTCGGGGCAGGAGCGTACGCTGACAGCTTGGCAGGAGCTGCCGCTGCAACTGGAGATGGGGACATCATGATGCGCTTTCTGCCCAGGTAGCTTCCCTGTGCTTTTATGCTGCTTGTATAACAAGCAGTAAGAGTATTCAAAAAGAAAAAAAAGGTAGACTGCATTGGCCAAAACTGTCACGTGTGCGTTTAGTTCAGGGTCCATTTTTTTCTCCTAGGATTCTGGCTTTTTCCCTCAAAGTCTTTATTCTCTCTTAAGATTATGGCTTTTTTTTTTTTTTTTAAGGAAAAGGCAACTGTTTTGCAAGCTTTCAATCATTGCTGTATGATAATAACTATCCCAAAAATATTCAGAATACAAATACACCTTTTTTAGTACTGCAAATTTTGGGGGGAGAGAAATAATGGTATTAATGTACAATTAATTTTTTCTCAAAAATACAGTTTGATTATCAAATGATTTCAACCTTTTGTCTGAAATATAACAACTTAATTCCCATAAGATTGACTTAACTATTTTCGCAAGATGAGTTTTTTCTTTGAAAAAAAAGAACAAAATATATATATTTTTTTTCCCAAAATGGAAAAAAAACTCGTTATGACTTGTCTGAAAACAATTATTACTGTCAAAAGATTACAACTGTTTTTTCTTAATCTACCACTGTCTATCTTAAAAGGATTCTGTTCTTGTAGAAATAACTTTTTTATGTTAACGTGAATTTTTTTGCTCAAAAATACAGTTTTACCCTCAAAATTGCAAAACATTAACCTAGGAGTCAGTCCATTAATTTGTCCTATGAAGATTCCGCCTTGAGGGACAGCAATGCACCCCGAGCTTACTGCGACAGCCCGCTTAGTGGCCTTGACAAGCCCTCGTTAGTTGGCCTGACACCTGTCCAATGCCACACTGCCGACAGTTACTTGGCGGTTGAGCTGATGAGGACCGGGATGGATCCCTCGGCAGCCTGCAAGATGGCCATTTCCAGGATTAAGAGGCATTACGCTGACTTTTTTGGGGCCATCATATGTGCTAACTTGACAGGCCATTATGGTGAGTTTTTGGATTCACATACACACATGGATGCCAAACATGATTATTACTTATCTGAGAGACAATGTCCGGGACATCAAAACCAATCATTTGCTTTTGCTCTGTTTAAAAAGGTGCAGCTTGTAACAAGGTGGACGGATTTTTGCAGTTTCACTACATGGTGTCAAATGGCGAGTCCGACGCACCACTTCTCAAGTCAGTGGACTGTTTTTAATTTTTTAAAATAATTTTTCTTTTAAACCAAAGATTTTGGAGAGATATTGAAAACATTAAAATAATAACTGATGTAAGACTTTGTTTGGTGTCTTTAATATATATTTATATGTAAAAACTTTATAACTCATAATAGACAGATGAAATATACACAATACACACCACCCATGATTGACAGGAATAAGTTAAATGCAGTATTATCCATAGATTCCATTTTTAAAGTCTTGTATGAGAACTTGAATGTGGGGGTTTTCGTCATTCAAACCTCATTTTGGTCCTAAATTGACACTAACAGCCTGGCAGGATAGAAACGCCAGGTCCGCCCTCCGCCCACTGGAAATAATCGCACTGTTTACCCTTTCGGAAGCCGCAAGTGTAGAAATTGCGGCCGTTGTTGGGGCCCAGCTTGAGCACAGTCCTCATCACGCACCGCTTTCCATGGTGACAGGAGGGAAAGTGTAAGTCAGCCCACTAGAAAAACAAAATACAGGGAGATATTATCAAAAATGTACTTTTTAATGGCTTGTATACAAAAAACTGGGCCACTGGATTGTCTGCCCAGCCATCAAGTGTGAAATTAAACAAAAGCATGCCAGTGAGCGGGCTAGTCTGAATTGTGATGTCACACTTTTTAGATGAAAAGTAATTGTGTCATAAAATGTCTTTATCCGGGGTTCCTACAGGTTTCTTCAAATTCCATTTATGACTTCAAGAGCTATATAAGACACATGTACAAAAAAAAAAGCTTTTGATAGCAAAAATATTTTCTGCACCCTTGAACTGATAAAAATGAATTCTGAAAGGAAGTGAAACAGTGATTTCAGTGAGTGCGTGCAAGTGTATGTTTGCATGTACAAGTGCACTGCACGCACATATTTTACACTGCGTTCTGGTTTCACTTCGCTCGCTTTTGCGGAGACACTTTCGCTGCGGTGTGGCATTTGCATGAGGCAGACGATGTTGGTGCACACGGAACCTCTTTGGATAGCTGCTTCTTACTGTTGCACGGACCTTGTCATGGTGGAAGATGATTTCCCCAAAAAAAGCAAGGCGTTAATTGTTTTGATTTCTTCATTGCTACTGGTTCGAATGCACTCGCGACTAACTACACACTACTTCACAATACGTGACGTGCATCCCTCCCACTCTACTTCCACTTGCTCTGCAGCATGATCCTGGCTGATCACTTAACACACACTGCCACCTGCTGGACAGATTTTAAATGATTTAGAATAAAGACAAGGGGGGCAATAGCGGGTTTTCAAGACAAATTCAAACATCATGGGGAGTGAATGAGTTAATATTTCAATATTGCCATTAATGTTACATCCCTAAATTTTACACCTAAAATTATTTTCAGAAAATGTGATTTCTTAAAAGAAAGTCTGATTTCTTGAGGGGAAAAAAAAAGCTGTGACAGCAAAATCTGCAGAGTGTGAGATTTCTCACCTCAAAGAAGTTGCACTTTGCCTCCCGGGGCTGTGAACAGGTGTAAAACAGTCGTCCTTTATTCTCACCGTCCTTGTGGACCACTCGCAGGAGAGTTGGGCGACCGTGGGATGCACACAAGGGGGGGACGGATGGGCTGGACTGGCCCCGTTCCATCTCTGCAGTTGTGTGTGCACTAAACAGAGGAGACATCAGCTACAAAACAAGAAAAGAAACCAATTTGGTTCTTGTAAAATGGCGTCTTTTTACTCAATAGTGATTTTTTTTTTCTCTCAAAATTGTGAATTGGTTTCTCCAGAAAAATACAGCTTCATTTCTTAAATTAAAATATTTTTTATCAAAATACAGCGGACTCCCATATACATTGTTTGGCACCCGTGATTTTTCCCCCCTAATATTTTTAAAATTTTTTTTTTTACAATTTTTGGGGTGAGGCAACAACTTATTTTTTTTTGCAGAAAGTACTTAATGACAGTATATCTCCGCTTTTTTTTTTTTTTAATTTGGGGTGTGAAAAATGTTCCATTTCCTTTTTTTTCCCCGCTCCATTGCAATTATAATGGTCACCAATTATTTGCGGATTTTTGGTATTTGCATGGCAGCTTGGTTTCTATCCCTCATGAATCGTGAGGGTCTACTGTGTAATTTTATTCTTGTAATCAGGTGATTTTTTTTTTAAACAATTTTCCTAAAATGGCACTTTTATCTTGAAAATATATATCTATATTGCTCAAGTAATATTTCGACTTTAGTCTTGTAAAATTACCGGTACGTCTTTTTACTTGTGAGATTATGCCATGTTTCAAAAAATAATAAGACTGTTCGTGCATTATTTTGACAATTTTAGTAAGTTTACGACCCTCGTGAGGATATGTGGTCCAGAAAGTGAATGGACACTTATTTTTTTTCTTCCCCCCCTCCCCTCCCTCCCAAAAAAATTCTTTAAATGTAAGACTTATTTGCTTGGAATCTTTTTACTTTAAAAAAAAAAAAAACATTTTTTCTTGTAATTTATACCTTTAAAAAGGTGACTTCTTAAAATTTTCTGCAGCCCCAAAAAGCGATTTTAGTCTTGTAATTTCTGATTTACCATCTCAATTGTAACATTTTTAATCGAGAAGAAAAATCTTATTTTGTCTAATTTTATTCTCGAAATATTTCAACTTTTATGCACGTGTGTGATGCACACAGGAGGGACCGGCGAGACTGTAATGTGTCGCTAGTGTTGTCTGTGCACTAAAAGAGGAGCTGAAACTTGTCTTGTTAGGGTGGAAATAACCTGAAAACAAAACTTGAGTTCTGTACCCTCAGGCTAGGGAAGCTTTTATTATTGTTATTCATGAGCGAGTCACTCACCCCATCTTGTTAGAGGGACCAGCATCAATTCTCATTTTCTTGCACGGCTGACTGGATGAGGCCAGCGTTCCCCCACGAGACAGCTCAGACGCCTTGCTCAAGTCGGAGAAAAGCAAGGTGGCTGTCCCGAAAGCGGAGCGCCAGTTCAGTTTGCGCTCCTCTTGGGGTTTTGTGAAGGCAGTGCAGGGATACCGCACCAGATCGGTGGAGGAGGGCGCGGAGGTGCCCTCTTTGTGGACTGCGGAGGAAGTGATAAAGAGACATTTCATGATTATTCTGAGGCTCCACTCATAAAACATAGGTTATTAAATGCACGCTTTTAGAACATAAACAATACTATCGACCACTTTTATGTACTCCTGCAAGTCCAGTTCACCTCACAACTGCCTCTTCTGGGCAATTTCAATGCATTTGAATATGAAACATGAAATGCTGTAAAAATGTTATATCCCCATTACTGTATATAGGGAGCAAAATGATCACAACAGGGATTGGGCTAATTGGCGTGGTACAAGGCAAAGCATAAGGTACAGGAATGTAAAACGAATGGAAGCAATAACTAAAATACCATATAAAGAACATTTTAAAAATATAAAAGTACTACTTGGAAAAATACACAAATATCAAATACTGCAAAAACAAACACACAACTATTTGGGGAAAATTCTGCCGCCCCCCCCCCCAAAAAATAAATATATAAATAAATAAATGAAAGCATGCAAAAAACACAGTAATCAGAAAGGGGGCAAATATTTTTTTCATGGCACTGTATATGTGAAGTACCTTGCTTCATATTCCTGGAAAGAACCTGAAGAAAAAAAAAAACTCCCCAAAATGACTAAAATGCCCCTCAAATGGGGTCATTGATTGTTGCTTGCTCTCTCAAAGAAAAAAAGTCATTTTGATCCCTATAAGTGCTTTGATAAAATGGATGGATGGACATCAGGTAGGACATAACTTGTTTTTGTAAGAACCGCCATTTCCTTCTTCTTTAATTGGCTACATTCCGTTAACGTCACAATTTGCCGACTCAAATGGCTTAAGAATACTCGGCTTTTCCCGCACACGCAAAGATTTTTCGTCAAATGAGCACGTTCAATATTTGAAAAGGAAGTGAGGTTAAAACTTTTGAATTGGCTGCAACTAACAGTCAGTTAGTTTTACCCGGAGCTCTGGGCGTGAGGCAGGCGTCACAGCTTTTGGCAGCAGACTGGTTGAGGAGGGTGCATAGGTGACACGCCCAGTCCTCTTCCTCCCTCTTTGCCACATTCTCATTGGCTGCTCCCCCACTGCTTGCCCAGGCAATCAGGGTGTTCCTGACAGGAAGTTGACTGTAAACATGAAAAATGGAACAAAATAAAACTTTTAAACAGTTTTCAAACACTTATTTTATTTTGTTCTATTTATTTACTTCAGCTTTTCTAAGAATAATGACCACATACTATTTAATACTATGAAAAAGACACACATCAATAAGAATAATTTAAGAAAAACTATGAAACATGTTCATGATAGAAATATTTACAGAAAATAATGCAAAATTCACAGATGTAAAAGGGGGAGAAAAAGAAAAATATTTGTTCTTAAAAAACATTGCCAAAAACAAATTGCAAAAACATCATCCACGATATTTTGTGGTCATTAATTGTGTTTTTGTGATGCACAACTTGATCACACGTGCTTTCAAAATTCTAGAAAGGCAATTCGGATGGGTCCTTTGAAAGCCTTCAAAGGCTCCTCCTCATGTAGCCTCTGTGGACCACATAAATTAATGCTTAATGTGAATTTAGAAACCACGTGCGGTTGAGTCGTGCTGGAAGTGATTTCACACGGTAGAAAATGCGGCCTTCTAAGGACCATCCATTTTCTAATGCGCTTATCCTCAAGAGGGTCGCGGGCATGTTGGAGCCTATCCCAGCTGTCTTCGGGCAGTAGGCACGGTACACCCTGAACTGGCAGCCAACCGCAGGGCACACATAGACAAACAACCATTCGCGCTCACAATCACACCAATGGACAATTTAGAGTGTTGCATTAGCTTGCCATGCATGTTTTTTGTAATGTGGGAGTAAACCAGAAGTACACGGAGAAAACCCACACAGGCACGGGGAGCACATGCAAACTCCACATTGGAAGGCCGGAGCCGGAATCAAACCCTGGTCCTCTGCACTGTGAGGCGGACGTGCTAAACAGTCAACACCATTTGCACGGCTGTCTTTCCTTTTTAGTGCATCGTCTTAGGGATTTTCACCATGGCTAGTGTGAATTCATTCGTTTAGCCACTATCATTTGTGTGTTCTAGGCCATAGCCATCTTTGATTCATTCATTTCGTCACTTTATTCATGTGTTGCACAAATGTAGTTTGGATTCAGGAGTGTTAACTCAATTTTTAGGTATAGTGTCGCGTAGTGATAGGTAGATGAGGCCTTGTGAGGTATTATGTCACATTGGGCAAACTGTATTGATACTGTGTTGGCATGTCACGCTGTTGCTCCACAGGAGACCTGCTGAATCTTTGCATTGCAGGCACCCTAGATGCAATATTGTTTAGTTATCCTTGTATTCTGTTTTGTATGAGCCTATTTCTATTTGAATCTAAGTTTACATTTTTTGAAATATACAGTCAATAAATAATGTGAACATTACTGTCAAAAATACGAGCACAGCAATAATGAAAAATACTCCAAAATATTTTTTTAAAATATACCAACCCACCCCACCATCCGAAAATGTTACACAAACCGCAGGAGGAAGCCAACAAAACATTTGCACTTGTAGCAGCTGGTGAGGCAACACCAGTAGCAGGCGGCGTGCATTTAAATGCAGTGCCGCGACATAAATCTCCACTGTGTTTGACAAGAAGGCCGCCAATCATCGTGTGGATGGAAGGAGGGATGGGTGAAGAGATGGCTGGAAGTATGTAGTCATGCTATTGGCTGCTAATGGCAAACTTCCCTCACAGATTGATCGGTCAGCTGTGTAATGTGTTTGAAGGGCTTTCGGCGGGGAGCCCTCGCTAAGCCTCGCTCAAACACCAGCCAGGCGGTGTTGAGCCCGTGCTCTATCTGGCAAACATGCAACGAACATGTGCATCGGTGGCACCCAAAACACTCCCCGCTCCCTGCCAAGCCCATCTGCCTGCAAAAGATGGCCTCTCAGAGCTGAAACCCTCTAACAGAAAAGCTTCACGGAAGGCACAAAAAAATAATAATAATAAAATTGTAGTTGTAAAATATAACCTACTAACCATTCTGTTGTGTTGAAGAATGCAAAACAAATAATGGACCGTTTCTGCTCTTTATTATATCCTGTAGCACTGGCATCGGGCTGAATCCTCGTTTCTCCAAATGTTTATTACTATCATTAATGCAGTTCTATTCAAGATACAGATAGAATTAGAACAACAAATGAAGTTAGCGCAGCCCTTAAGTCTATCAAAGCTAACAAAAATGAGGGGATGTACATTTTATGTCAAACCATTTATTTTTATCCTGTCAGGAGTTTTTGCATCAAGTTTATAACTGTGTGTGTGGTTTCCATTGAACTCCCATTGAACATTCACACTGCTTCATCTATTAAGTGTTTTAAGACATTTATTTACGCGGGCATTTTACATAAGATGAGCTGGGCATTTGCATCTTTTTGTTTTAATTTGTATTTTTCTTCTCTATTGTGTTTCTACTGTATATGCTGCACTTTTGACTGTGTTTACTGTACTTTAAACGTGTATATAAATAAACCTTAACCGTGAATGAGGGCAGCAGATTTTCGGGGGGGAATTTTTCAAATACAGAATCAAGATGTTAATTTACATTGGAACTTGAGTGTGAGAGAGAGAGAGAGAGAGAGAGAGAGAGAGAGAGAGAGAGAGGTCTGTGTGTGTGTATATACACACACTATTCTTAAAGAGGTAAACCAAACTAACGACACTGTGTTCCAAATTATCAACCATATTGAGGTTAAATTTAATAAATATTTTGAGTTTCATATGGCCACCATCATCCCGACTTCAACTCTATTGAGAACTTTAGGGGTATCTTTAAAAGGAAGCTCTATGAAGTAGGAAGGCAGTATGCCACTAAACAACAGCTCTGGGAGGCAAAAAAAAAGTTCTACTAAGAAAATCATTGTTCTTAACCAAACAAACAACACATTTGCCGGTCACTTAATTAGGGACACAAGCACCCTGTTCTGCTCCCACCTGATGTGAATGCTGCCGGTGTCACGCCCTTGACAGCGGTCACAGAAGTACGTCATCCTGGCATTGTCACCGAGACGACAGACAGTGATGGTGCCGGAGCAGCGGCCGCACCGGGAACGCTTGTAGACTTTGTAGTGTGTGCATAGCGCAGAGCCAGACTTGCGACACTGGCAGAGAGAGAGTGTGAGTGAGTGTAAGAAGATGCCAGGTGAAGCCATCAGTACGTGCAAGCAATATGGACAACACAAGTGAAAATGTCAACTGCAAACAAGCTATTAGCAGGTTACAAAAATGATCACTCCAAAAATGCTGTAAAATATCTTCTAAAGAATGTTCGTGTTTTAAAACTATAAAATATATACCGGTACTAACTCTTCATGATAAATTTGGGGTTTAGGATTATAACTCCACAGTATACATTTTAGGATGGAAAATACACAAAAAATTTTAGCTAAAAATATCAAATACATTAGCTAAAAATACATACATTTTAGGTATTTATGTACTTGTATTTTTAAAGAATCCAAAAATATGAAACCAAAAACTATTAGACAGAATGTACAAATCCTGGTAACATATTAGAAACAAAAGAAAATATCAGAGAAAAAAGTGACAAAAAGGCACTGAATGCAAAAAAAAAAAAAAAACACCTAAAAAAATGTAACCACAGCAAACATCTCACCTTGTAAAAGAGAAGAGTGAAATCGCGCGTCATCTTTACCAAATGGTGAAGCTGCTCGTCCGACAGCTGCTCCACCTTAGGAAGGCACAACTGCAGTGAGTAATTACGTTTAACATTTCAAAGAAAAACCTCACACGTACAGTAGTCAATCTATAACAAACACATCAGGTGCACAAACCAGTCATCCTTTTTCTTTGGCCTTACTCCTCATTAGGGTCGCAGACAAGCACAGTACTTAGACTGGTCACCTGCCAATCACAGGGCATGTGCCACATGTCCTGGTCCAATAGAAACAATTGTAAATCAAAAGAGATTTTTTTCCCCCCTTACAATTACTTTCAATATTTTCTTTACACTGTCCCAGTATTCGCAAATTATGGGACAATCCTAAAATATGTGCGTATAGTTTCCTGTCCGACAACAACGCCTCGAGCATTTTCCGGATTTAATTGGAACAACGAAGCCCTGATTTTTTTGTTTTTCATTCAAACTTTTGCCATAATATACCTGTTGAATCTTATTCTGTCAGATATTTTGGATGGATGGATGTTTTCTTCAGATTAATGAGAAATACAGTACATTCTATGCATTGTGAATGTAGCAGAAAAAGTATATATAAATATATATTTTTAATAAGGACCCCCAATCTTTGGAACAGTAATGTATGTTCTCCTTTAGTGAAAGTACAGTATGCATGTTCATTCAGATGGCATTTGTTTTATAAATCAGATCAAATCCCCAAATTATTTAGTTTCTTTTGCCGCGCTGCATAACTTTCTATATCTTCGTCCCATTTTACACCCCCACTGCAACACATCACTCGATAAAGCACCAGAAAGTTATGCAGAGTGGGATGTCTCTGGTTGTCTCGCTTCACACCCTCACCCCACCATCTTTGGCTGCATACCATCCATCATCTGTACCTTCACAGCCGGGTGTAGGCCCGCGTCGAAAAGAGCTTCGTTTTTAATGATGTTGCCCACCCCCGGCATGACGGCCTGGTCGAGAAGGACGTCACAGAGCATCCTGCCAAGATGGCGTCTCACTGCTTCGGCTGAGCGTGAGTGGATGAATGCCGGCGAACACACGTCCAAGGACTGAAGGGCTCGCACACGCTGATTACAGTCGTCACTCAACCTGTGAGAACACAAACACCCACATATACATGAGCACACACACAAGCCAAGCACACACATACTTACACTCATATTTGCACACTGGACACTCACGTACGTACATGCTGTAAAGCACAAAATACATGCACACACTGACATACACAAGTCTATATCCAAACAAAACACTCGCACATACTCGTACGTATAAAAACTTACAGGAATGCACATGTACAGTACATATACCCGCTAACTGCCTGCGTCAGCAGTGTGCATGGGTAACTACGTGTGTGTACACACCAGTGGCGTTACATGTCTAGAAATGGAGTGCTTGTTAACGCACCTATAGCCTGCAGGCAAATCATGTGGGAAACATTCACTGGATGGGGCTTACAACCTTCAAGGTGAACTTCTGTGAGCTCAATCCAGTATCATTTTGGGTTTACCTCAATTCCACCGTGCTGTCGAAGAAGCGTACAATGTCGTTGGCCAGGTGGATTTCAAGCACAGGGACGGAGCTCCCTCTGCCACCGCCATGGTTCCTCTCTGGGGTGTTGATTCGCATAGAGCCGTTCATGCCAAAGTGTACTCTAGTAGAAGATTCACAATATTAATAAAGAGTATGAAAGAAAATATTTATCAGGTAATGTTAGTACAGGGAAGCAGTTTTTTTCAGAAGGGATGGCATAATATTGGTGAGTGTCAATCAAAATTGGCCGTTATTTTCTTTGTGGAGGCAGCTATTTGTTTGATAAAGCTCTTCTATTGGATAATATTCGATAATCTAAGTGTGCATCAGTTCCACCTAGGCGAATACATCAAGAATCCAAAGTTGGTCTTACCAAAGACAGCTACGTAAACCCATCTAACTTACTCAATCAAGGCAGGTGAAAGGGCTTAAAAGCAGGACTGACTCCTTAAAATTAAGGTCGTGAGAACTTAGACGAGTCTTTCTCAACGCTGGTTTAAGGAAATTTCCGTCCCCTGCTGTGAACGCGTTAGAGCGGGCGAGGGATAAGGGGAGTTTCGACCAGGACTTTCCTGATAGTCCTATAGGTAAGTGGGATCTGACAAATGGCATACATCTACATGTATATTTCTCATTGAACCACAATCAAAATCACTTAATCTATCCTCAAGCAATGTATCCGGATTGGTGTTTTGAACAATGATAATACCGAATGAAAACAATCAAAAATGAAATAGTAACAAACATTTTGTGCGTGAAAGAAGTGGAAAGAATAGATATTCGCGTAAAGATGTAAGGAGTCAAGGTACAATGGAGGCTCAAAAATAACTACCCCAAATTTCAACTTCAGTAAGGTAATGAAGTATAGTACTGTACTTGATACCTCTGGAACACGATGACAAGTGAAAGAGACATGAATGATTTGAACCCTTGGTAGACATTCTGCAACTTCTTACCTCAACGCATTAGAGCCAAAATACAATAGCTCTTTCCCCAGGGTATCTACGCCGGTGTATTGAGACCCTTTCAGCCTTTGGATGGCGTTGTTTCTTTCCTGCTCGACTCCCTGCAAGTACACGAACGTCACTACAGTATGTATCGGAGACATACAAGTTATTGTCGAGCCGCAAACATTATTACCAGACGACTACTCCAGTCATTTTTGTTTTCTACTTGCTGAGCTACCTTGACAAACCATTCTTAGCGTTGGGATGTCTTTTACGGACAAAAATACCTTCGTTGTGAACATATTGCCCCGCATCTCTTTCACTCTTTGTCCTTTCTGGATCCTCGAACGTATCTTCTCGCCGTTTAATGTACACCCAGGACCTTCAACCATTTTAAAACTTAAACGCTAATTGTTGGCAAGCACTATCACACTTCAACTGTTGTCGCGTCCCCGCCACTTATTCAATTTGACGCATGCGCAGTGGGTCGTCTCATGTAATCAACTGAAGCCACAGGGCAGCCATCTTACGTTGCCACACTTGCTAGAAAACACCGCTCTAATTGCGTGTTTCAGACTAACAAGAGGGTATCAAAGAACTAACTTTAATATTTGAATTGACTATATTACCTCAGTATCATGAATTGTGTACCCAAAAAAGAGGATTGTTCGAATCCTACAAATGGTTAAAAAGGTGTATGGATGTAACCTTTAACACTCCTTTACCAAAGGTTACTCCTGACTAATTTACGGCAGCAACATTTAAAGGAACAGGAAAACAAAGTAGCTGACAGACGACGCGAGACTCTCGACTAGCACGCTCAATAAAGGCTTTAAAAATTGTGTTACAAAAAACACTAACTGGAAAATAGTAATAAAACGTTTGGGGTGTTTTACTGTCCTTTTTTGAGCACAGAAGGATGGTCAATTAGATCAAGCAATATATGTTCAAATGAAAAGGAAAGGTGTGTTTCGAAATAACACCTTGCCATAATTTATTCGAGAATAGGCAATTTCAAAATCAATGAAAACCATAATCAGTAATCCTTTCACAAAAATAATTAGCATTTGTATCCTTGTCATTTTATTATAAAGCGATTATTTTGCAGCTAAAGTCAGCAAGCGAGAGACCAATGTCAGTCATACATGCCGTCACGCAATGACGTCAGTTCGGAAATGTGGAGTCGAGTTCATTTGATACAGTGTTGTCCTTTCATCTCCCAGATGACGTAATCAGGTAAGGAAGACCGAAGGGCAGGGCGCGCATTACTTACGGCCATGGCCTAAGAGCGAGCCCGGCCAGTCAAGTGACTCATTAAAAATGCAACCTTAGTATTATCCTGAGCCTGAGTAGATGGTTGCTGGTCAAAAATCCAGCTGCAATGGTGAATGAATTATTCGCAAATACCCGGCTCTTCACCATAGCGAGGAGGATGAGGTAGTGAAGTTTCTCAAACATGAAACGTGGGTAAATATACCCCAGTAATGGGAGGCAAAGGATTTGGAGGTGGAGTGGCTTGGGAGCGAGACTGCTCCACCCGTGAACCCAAATCCTCGCACCAGCGAGCCAGCAAGGTGCCCGTGCCGTGGAACCCCGTGATCGCATGAACTCGTTGTATTTTTGCTGTCCCACCAGTTGACCTTGGTTGGCCAGCGCTTGCATATTTTTTTCATAGTTCACAGAGTCCATGGTGGTCGGATAATTCTGTCAGGGTTTCGGGAAAGTTCTGGATAGAATTGGACTCCAGAATGTGAACTGAGAAAGAATTGACAAAAAGAGTTATTTACAAAAAAAAAAAAAAAAATCATCAATGTCCAGTAATTGGACCAAGTTTTCCCTCAACCGGACAGGGTCACTTGGGCACCCCACTAATCATTCATCATTCATTATTTACATAGACAACTCAAAATCACATTATTGACACTTGATTTACTGACCTTCCTCGGACTGTATGTATTTGACAAGATTAATTCATATTCAAAGTGGGCATTTTGACCTGCAGAAGTTTGAAAAAGCTTTTGAGTTTGAGTGCGTCAACTCAAACAGTCGTATTACTTCTCAATAAACCGTTGTACATCTAGTAGTGTTGATAGTGTGACGTTAATGTGAATATATTAAACGTTGTGAAGAAAATGGACGTTTTTTTTTAAATAATGATAAGCGGCTCGGATAATAGATGGATAGGATTTCTGCCGCAGTGGTTTCGCGTCGCAGACAACAGTGCGCGTGCGCAGTATCATTCCACACAACTGCACGAACCAAACATGGCGGCGGCCGTCGACAGTGTTGTTAAAGTGTAAGTTCCCCTTTTTATTTTTTCAAAAGAAAATCCACGAGTCGTGCCGACGTCAATAGATATCCGAGAACCAATTAATTAGCGACAACCCTTTGGAAGGATTTGGGGGTGGAGTGGCTTGGGAGCGAGACTGCTCCACCCGTGAACCCAAATCCTCGCACCAGCGAGCCAGCAAGGTGCCCGTGCCGTGGAACCCCGTGATCGCATGAACTCGTATTTTTGCTGTCCCACCAGTTGACCTTGGTTGGCCAGCGCTTGCATATTTTTTTCATAGTTCACAGAGTCCATGGTGGTCGGATAATTCTGTCAGGGTTTCGGGAAAGTTCTGGATAGAATTGGACTCCAGAATGTGAACTGAGAAAGAATTGACAAAAAGAGTTATTTACAAAAAAAAAAAAAAAAAATCATCAATGTCCAGTAATTGGACCAAGTTTTCCCTCAACCGGACAGGGTCACTTGGGCACCCCACTAATCATTCATCATTCATTATTTACATAGACAACTCAAAATCACATTATTGACACTTGATTTACTGACCTTCCTCGGACTGTATGTATTTGACAAGATTAATTCATATTCAAAGTGGGCATTTTGACCTGCAGAAGTTTGAAAAAGCTTTTGAGTTTGAGTGCGTCAACTCAAACAGTCGTATTACTTCTCAATAAACCGTTGTACATCTAGTAGTGTTGATAGTGTGACGTTAATGTGAATATATTAAACGTTGTGAAGAAAATGGACGTTTTTTTTTAAATAATGATAAGCGGCTCGGATAATAGATGGATAGGATTTCTGCCGCAGTGGTTTCGCGTCGCCGACAACAGTGCGCGTGCGCAGTATCATTCCACACAACTGCACGAACCAAACATGGCGGCGGCCGTCGACAGTGTTGTTAAAGTGTAAGTTCCCCTTTTTATTTTTTCAAAAGAAAATCCACGAGTCGTGCCGACGTCAATAGATATCCGAGAACCAATTAATTAGCGACAACCCTTTGGAAACCACACAAACAGCAAACTGTTTTCGAATGCAAAATGCGTCCCAAGAGAATAACGTTATCTTGTGGTGTGCTAGGGATAGCTAGTTAGCCGCGGGCAAAGATCCGAAACACAGCGACTGAGGAGCTGGAACTCGCACACACGTCACCAACTTAAGTTGGCCACTTTGTATTTTTCACCTGCTTTATTGGCTGTATTGGTAATTGCCTACCCGCCGATAACCCCGTCTGTCGTTAGTCGCTTTGTTGTGAGGAAAGGCGTGCTAACGATCAACCTTTTGTTCTGACGTCGCTCCTCTACACTGTTGAAATTCAAGCAATTTAGCTTACGTCCGTTTGTCTTAAAGAATTGCTCGGTTTTAATGCAGAATGTGTTTATCATCGTAGCTGTCGTTTACAGTGGTATTCCCCCTAAAAACAACAATCCCTGGATCGCATTTTATGGTTAACCAGTTACGCTTCATGGGAGAGACACGATGTTAGAAATACTTTCCACATGATGTAGAGAATTTCTTCTCTTTTGCAAACTACAACAAGAGTCACGCAGGATTTCCCACATTTTTAAATGTAATTTACATTTTTGTGACTCGATGTTCTCAGGCTTCCAGAAAACTATTCTCAAGTTAAAAACTCTAATTTGTTAGTAGGTGTGAGTGAGATTGGTTGTTTCTCTATATGTGCCCTGCTATTGGCTGGTGACCAATTCAGGGTGTATACAGGCTCTCACCTAGTGACAGATGGGATAGGATTTGACACACTTGCGACCCTAATGAGGAGAAGCACTGTAAACATGGCTAAATAGTTAAATGTAATATAATTGTTTAGCCATGATTGTTACGCACATTTTCACATTTTATTTTAATTATATATTCTAGTCTGGGGGAGCAGTGTTATCGAGATGCCATGGAGCAATGTCACAGCTACAATGCCAGACTGTGCGCTGAGCGCAGCATCCTCATGCCCTTCCTGGACTCACAGACCGGTGTGGCTCAGTCCAACTGCTACATCTGGATGGAGAAGAGACACCGGAGCGCAGGTATAAAAGTCAATTACAAACCATGGTGTGCAACATTACACTGCCTGTTTTTTTTTTTGTTTTTTTTTAGCTATGGTCTTTGCCTCAATATTCACACATTAGTGTGGAGGCTGTTAGTGTATAAAGTCCACCCTAACTTCAACTTTACCGATGCTAACTGTATGCTGCAGACATAGCTCGACGGTGTAGCTTGTGTGGTTTGTGGTACAGTCCTCAACGTTTGGTCCTTCAATATATTGGTCAGGTGTTGCTCCAGGTCAACTGTACACGTATCCAGCTCGTCGCTGGAGGAAGAAACGGCGCTCTCATCCCCCCGAGGACCCCCGATTGGCCTTCCCTCCTCTCAAAGCAGGTATTACCACTCAAGAAGTTTTCACCTTCGACAGAAACGTGAAACGTTTTTCATCAACGGCTCTGGTGTCATCACAACATGCATACTGATTAACTCGCGTGTGCTTGCAGCAGATTTGGAATTGGGCCTGAAGCGTGATGCCTTGGGGGCGGTGGATGGGAGCAGTCTGGAGGCTCTGCTGAAAGGTGAGCCCCTCGACAGGAGGAGTGGTGTGACAGACGTCCGTGGTCCCGAGGATGATCCAGCCACCGTGGACGCCCCTGCTAGCTCTACGACAACTCACACATCCTCCGGACGTGTCCGCAAGGTTTGTTTGTTTGTTTGTTTGTTTGTTTCGATAATGAGGCCTCATAAGTTGTTTTTTGTTCATTTTGCCAGTTTGAGTACCAGATGGTAACAAATAAACGGAATAAAAACAGATGAATGGATATCAAGCAAACATTTGAATATACTTTGAAGATATACTTTGAATTTTTTTAAATTACGTAAGTTGTTTGAGAAAGCTGGGAAATTTAATTGGCCAGCGTCTTGGAAAAGGGAGTTTAAACCCTGTGTCATTTTCACTGCAGAGAGTCCTTGACCACGATGACTATTTGGACGACTTAGATGATGAAGACTTTGAGGATGAGACCCCCAAGAGGAAAGGCAAGAGCAAATCCAAGGTGAGGACTAACTCTTGTGTTGGTCAGCTCATCAGGCAAGGCAGTCCATGGCAAATTCACTTGTATAGCAACATTAATATACAAGACAAGTTATAGTAGTGCTCAGGGTTCCCACGCCTCCTGGGAAACCTAGAAAATGATTGATTGATTTTCCAGTCATGTGGTGAACACAAACAGGTTAATCAGGCATGTATGTCTGATTTCAGCTGTCTTCAATGGAGCTGTAGCGCTTTTCTGCTTCATCTCTGCTTCTGGCTTGCACAGCAATGCTACCACTCAATGAAACTCTATATTCCTTTAGAATAGTTGTTTCCATCTTTGTAGCCCCATGCCCATTCATCCCTGCACATTGAACTCTTCACTTTTGAACACTCTGTAAATATCGCATGAAATGCAGGCCTCTTGCATTTTCATTCTTCATGTTTATTCTTAAGCATTATCCTTGTCTCCTTATCGCTTTTATTTTATCTCTATATCATATTTATAAGTCTTGGGACTTACTGGGCTAACCTGGGATCTCAGGATTGTATTTCGTATTGTCATGTGGAAATGTGGTTTGGTATGACAAAATCCCGTTCATTTTGGGGTGCATAAAAACACTTTTTTCATTTGCCTTCCACATTATTTTTCTGCTTTTCGTGATGTTTTAGGTTTTTGTCATCTCAGTATTGAAGTGATGCAACCACACTAATTTGTAGGATGTGACATAGCCGCAATGTTCTTTTTTTAGGGGCGCAGTGACAAGAACGGCAAGAAGAAAAGTGAGGCTGCGGCTGCAGCTCTGGAGGAAAGAGACAAACCTTACGCCTGTGACAGTGAGTCAAAAAGCTTTTCTCTGTCTTTCACACCTGTGTACGTGTCATGCATGTTTGGCAAGGGAGCTTTCTGATTTTCCCGCTGAAATACGACATCAAGCCTTCTGCTGTGCATGATGCGATCTGAAAGACGCCATCTGGAACTTGAGTTGACGTTGAAAAGTTGCTCGCTTGGAAGTTTTTTTTTTCCCCCTGCCTTCTTCTTGAGAAGGTCCTTTTTTTCTGTATAATTTTTGGCTGCTGTGCCAGTTCTCACCTCTGCTGTATGAGCTTGCTGCTGGGAAGGCATCTCTAAAAATACATGTGATGTAAATAAAGTTTAAAGAAAGAATGCTTTCTGCGGGGCAATGAACAACGCACTTTCCTGGCTCCACCTGAGAGCCCATCTTTTTCCGTACGGTAATTCAACCATCACTATAACCCTTGTGTATTACCGTGTGTGTATGTCAGTCTGTGGGAAACGCTACAAGAACCGCCCAGGCCTGAGCTACCACTATACACACTCTCACCTGGCGGAGGAGGAGGGCGAGGACCGCGAGGAGATCGAGGCACCACCCACTCCTCGCCAGCCTGAGGAACAGAAGAGTGAGTCACTCTCAAGTACTGAGAGAGGGAGAGACGGCGCGAGAAAAGCGGGAGGGGGAGCAGTCATGGGGTTGCATGCTCTGTAGCATGTGTGTGCTTGAGGGAAATCGCGTCCTCATTTTTTCGCCCTCTTCCGTCCTTTTTTTTTTTTCCCCCTTCATATTCAATCTCAAAGTTTGCAAAAGATGCACCCATTGGTTCTGTTAGAAACAAGTGTAAACCAATACCTTCTTACATATTCAACTTTTTTGTTTGACGCCAACAAATCCATCCTGTTTGCATACATATACAGTATTCACAGATATGATCGAAATCGTTCAATATTTTGCATTTTATGCAAAATGGGTGATCGACTGTCATGTCATAATTTGCTCAATGTATCAATTACATCATTGATCAGCTCTGCCAAATAAGCCGTTAAAAAACACCCAACTTCGCTCGCTTTTGGGTCATTCTGTACCATCGTGTATGTGAGCCCGAAAACGAATGTGCTCTTTTCAGCCTCGTGTTGTGGGAGTGGAAAGATGTGCACTGGCAGGTGGAAGTTCTGCCTTCGCGCCCTCAACCATGCAACCATAGACTAGTAGTGTTTGTGTAGTTTTTCCTTTTGGCAGGTCATTAGTCCGAACACCATTTAATTTTTGTCAAAAAAAGAAAAAACAGTTTCAATAAGTGTGTTCGTTAATTTCACATACAGTAAGTACAGTTTGCATAGATTGGGCCGATTCTGTCAAGCTACACCGCAGCCAAACAGCTTCGATAGTGCGCTTACTATGTCACATACACACCAGGTAAAATATAGACACTGGACAAACAATTCAGGACAAGATAACCAAAAACACATCCAGCCCAGCTTCCCATGCGAGCCAAAAAGGAGCAGGCGTTGGCTACTTGGCATGGCTGGAAAATAAGCGTGTGGACTTGTTTACAGCTCTCGAAGCAAGATAACAATACTTTAAACAAATCAAAGCCGGCCACATGAATGACTGGCAATCTTTATGCATTTTTAAAATTTTTATTTATTAATGTCAGAGAAGGAGATTTTCTCAACAGGTAAGCATTGTTCTATTTAATGTTGAGCTGCTTTTGTTTTTGAAGAAGAAGAAGGGTTTAGATCATTTTTCCAATGCATTATCACTATGGTGGGGCTCAACTGCAGAGTACCGTAGATGTTATACATTGCTCCATATTCTGAACGAATCGATGATAGAGTATTTAGTAGTTTTTATCAAGCCTGATCACTAATTGACCCCAAAACACAGGTCGCATTAAGTATCTATCTATCGTGTGGATATATTTTAAATGCATGCAAATTTGCTTGTAAATACTTGTCACTCAGATTCAGTTCACATCATCAGCTCGTTCCCTTGCTCATTTTTGTTTTGTCTGTCATGGTGTCAAGAGATTTGAATGGTTCTGAAATGACAGGGGCTATTTTTTTTTTTTTAAACAATTACTGGGTAGATCATTCGGTACACTTGCACAATCTAACATGCTGTAGGAAGAGAAAATATATATGTCCTTGCAAAGATAACAATGCTGTCAAATAGTTAAATATTAAGACTGTTTAGTATTTGAGTTTCTCCGTGCTTGTATCTGTTTTTGTTAGGGCAGTCTTGCTTCCTTCCACAGTCCAAAAACATGTTACATTCATTGATGACTCACTGTAATTGTTCCAAGATGTGAGTGTGAATGATTGTTTGTCTACATGTGTCCTGTGATATGTTGGCGACCAGTTGGAGGTAAAATTACGGTCTTGTAGTTAACGAACACAAACAGGGTTCATGCACTGCATTTACTGTACTTCAAAGACAGCAGAGCATCATACATTACCTCTTGCATGTCCAGCATTATTTGATTGGTGGATGGTTGTTTTAAAAATGTACTGTATTCAAAATATTTTAGTTGGGTTTTTAGTAGACAGTACTGTATTTGCTGTGATGTTTTTTTAATGAACTAACTAAAAAAAATAAAAAACTCAAAACAAAGTAAAAACAAACAATAATGAAAAATCCAAAACTATTTGAACCCAGCTCAAAGGTGTACCCACCGACCCAGCCAATCGGCCAAAGTCGGCCGGTATCCAGCTTGCCAACAACCCTAGTGAGGATTTGCTGTAAAGAAAATGAATCAATATTATTTGGGTTTGCAATATGGTACATCATGTGTTGCCTTAAAAGTAACGTAAGCATTGATGAGAGGCACTCAGTATGATTCGGTACACCACTGCAATCAACAATCACAACAATAAACTTTTTTTTTTTGGGTGCAAAATTCTAAGTGAGTGTAGTTAGCTATGATAGAATTGCTCATATTGGCTCCTATGAAGTGTTCTAATGACCAATGACAAGTGCTTTAAATATGTTTGTGTTTATTCTCCTGTGTAGCAACGAAAAAGGGTCCAAATGGTCTAGCTCTGCCTAACGATTATTGCGACTTCTGTCTGGGAGACTCCACCTTGAACCAGAAGACTGGCCAATCAGAGGAGCTTGTGTCCTGCTCAGACTGTGGACGTTCGGGTATGGCTGGGATGATGGGAACCCTCACCCCATCGCTACCAATTGTGCACATGAAGTGCAATTGATGTTCACGGTTGGTTTCATGGTTGGGTCTGGTCTCTTCACCCCCCATTGTAGGCCACCCAACATGTCTCCAGTTCACGCCCGTAATGATGGCCGCAGTGAAGACCTACCGCTGGCAGTGCATCGAGTGCAAGTGCTGCAATGTTTGTGGCACGTCGGAGAATGATGTGAGAATGAGCTTTATCTTTAATCCCTGCAAAATCCAATTTAAAAAGCATACACAGCACACGGCGCAGCTCTGAGCACAATCACAATTAGACTTGCAAAGGGGTGGAAAGTTTCCGCTAAATTTCCGAGGGAAGTTCAAATGGGGGATTTTGGAAAAACTGCAAATTGGAAACTTTCCATGGGAATGGTGGTGGAATGATAGCAAGCATAAATCTGAGAACAAAAATTTATAGAGACTAATTTCATCAAATTTTCCACCTGTACTGTGACTCAACACAAAATTGGTAAGGGAACATACAATAAATAAGTACATGTCAGCAAGGGAGCTTTCTGTTTTTAACCCGGCTGCATAAACATGCACACCTTCAACACCTTTGGGGTATATTATGCAATAGTCTTTTTGGCGTAGGAATTTCTAGTAGGACCGCACGACATTGGAAAAACATACGATATGGTTGCTGAATGTTGCAACATTGAAATTATTGCCCTATTTGATATCTTCCTGAACAAATGACCTGTTACAGAATGAAGCAATGCTTTTTTTTTTTTTTTCATGCGGCAAAATAAGCAGGACCCAGTGTGTTCCTTTATATATCAGCTGCAGCCGTTGTGAAAATGCTACAGAAATAAAAATGCGTATTTATGTATATGTTTATGTTTGGGGCTGGACTTGCTCCTAAAATCCCAACTCGCTAATCGTGCCGACATCAGCGAATGATTTAAGATTAGATTCTAGATAACTGAATGGAACGTATTTCCATGGGTTGAAAAAACATGTGCCGCAGGGGTACACGACCTTAAATACTCAATTCTTTCCCCCGTTTTAAATAAAGAGTGGCATGTCTGAAGCGCACCAGTAATCTTAATTTTGTCTTACAACAATAAGGCAAAAAAATTAGGAGGCACTGATCAAAATTGGAAAAAAAAACTTAAGTCAAGGTATGACTGTACTTGCATGAAATGTGCTTTTTTTAGTCAGTATTATCCTAAAATATTATACATGTATACTACACAGGAGTACAAAATGCATGGAAAAGCTAAACTAATAAATTATGAGCCCCTTTGATTTGATTAAGAAACGGTCATCACAAGTGGCTGTTTATTTCCGAGAAGTCAGCATGAGTTAAACCAATGATGTGGGTTTTTTTTTTTTTTTTTCGCAGGACCAGCTGCTGTTCTGTGACGACTGTGACCGAGGCTACCACATGTACTGCCTTAGTCCCCCCATGACGGAACCACCCGAAGGTAAGATGCCACACGAGCCTAACTTAAATGAGGTGATATTGGATAGTAAGCGGCAGTCGTCGTACGTTATATCAGCGATTCCCAAACACTGTCAGATATCATCCGGTGTGGGAAATTATCCACTCAACAAAACGAAGTTGTAATTATAATTTCTGGTGCATGCAACAAGATGGATGCAAAACAAAATGTGTGTGTGTGT